GGTGGAGTGAGAGACTGCAGTTGGGAGGTTGCTGAGAAGGTGAAAAATTCTGGAAGGAAAACTCAGGGTCACTAAAGACACACATCACTGATGCTACCTTCCACCCAGTGCCATTTAACCCTTTTATTTCGGATTCTAACCACATGGGGTAGAGTAGGTACAAACTCTAGTACAACGGCATTAGCAAGAAACTGAAAAAGACTATCATAGAGAATGATTTGGTACCATGCAGGTTTTGTAATTTCAAAATTTCATCCATGTGACTTTGCATAATTTGGAGACAGGATTTGATTCGGAGTTGTCTCTATTACCTTGTAGTGGTGTGTGACCTTGGGCAAGAATTAGGCTTCTCTAATAACAGCAACAAGAACAACAGCTTGTACTATTTGACCACTTACAATCGGTCAAGCACAGTCCCAAGGGCATGGCCTATATTAACTCGAACCTCACAACAACCTATGAGATGATGGCTGTTATCTTCATTTGACAGTTGAGGAAACCGAGGCACAGAGATCCACCACTAGCTCACAGTCACCCAAGATCCTAAATTTTCTCATATATTAAATAGCATACAAAGTCATGAAAAATATTTATCATGATAAAATGAGGTATTTTATTTGAAAACTGCTGCATAAAGTGAGCTTCCCTATCTATTACTAAAGGTGAATCAAAATATCGACACGGCATTGGCCTAAGGGTTGTTCATACGGATGGGTGTCATGCGGTGCCACCACTCAGCTCGCCTTCGTGCCTGTGTCTGGCTTTCGGCAGTAAAAACAATGTGTGTTCATTACTCCAAGAGCGTTGACTCCATCAGATATTGGGCTACAAAAGTTCTCTTTCAGCAATGCTTCCACCCAGAGTCTATGGATCATAAATGTCTCTTTGCCCACTGTGCAGAGCAGCAGGCTCCATCTAGGTCGGCGTGTGTCTCCGTGAGTCAAGGCCTCAGTTACCAAGGCTGGAAGGAAATAGTACTTAAGGCAAAGGTCTCCTATACGTGATCAGAAGGTACATATATGATCCACATGCTTTTCAGAGGAATGAGACAATAGCATCCTAATCTTTCCATGCACAGGTGGCCAGAAGTAAAGTTATAGCTTGGACCAGTTTTTTAAATTGTTGTATTGAGTGGCAACATCTGCTTTCAGGAAGCTGGCCCGAGGAGAGAAGAGGGCTGTGTGTGGCGCCTGAATGAGTTGGGGAATGGAACGAGCAGGGGATGGGGCAAGGTGAGGAACCCAAGCCGCCTCACTGATCATCTGTCAGAAGAAAGCAGGCAGGAAAGAGTGGTTTCAAAACAGGACTCAGAAACATGCACGGTGTGAGTTTGCTTTTATGTATTTTATCTCCCATTTCATACTTACTAGCTCTTTCTCCACAGTACTGTCTCAAATATGAAAAATTAACATCAAGAATTTCATTTGTATGAGGATGGATCCACCAGGTGATTCTGCACACCTAGGGTCCATCTCCAATTAGCACAACTAACGAAGTGTGGGGTGAAATTTACAGCTTTGTGTGCCAAAGGATGAGTCAGCACTTGTACTGGCAAGCCGAGTGCACACAGCAGCAGCTCACTCTGTAATCCTCCCCACAGTCGTCGGGATGGGAGGATAAACTGCCAGGCTGGGTCTGTCCCTCAGTCTCCTTGTCGTAGGCTGATGCTTGATACCTTGATTCTTGGCACTGGGAGCCTTGTGTGTTTCAAGGACAGAAGCACGTCAGGAAGAAACACTATTGAGGCCCATCCTAATTTCTTGGTTGGTGGGCTTCTGGACCAAGTTTCATGTGCTTGTAGAATGAGAAAATATGAAACTCTAGCTGCCCCTCCTCCCACAGGGGGAAAGAGCAATGCAACTGAGGGCCTAACCTTTGGGGGAAGCTGAATCCAACCAGGAATGTTGCCATTGAAGGAAGCAAAGAAAATATTCAGTTAATTATAAGGACAAGCAAGGGAAAATCATACACTAAGTACCAGAAACACTAACTTTAGCCCTTTGAAAACAGACTTATCCAAAGTCCTAGGAACCACAGTGGAGGAAACAATCTTACACACACGATGAATAAAGAGTTCCATAAAGATGGAGGAAGAGTGGAAAGAAGATCCGTACTCAGACTCCAGCTGAGACATGCAAGGGCTTCATGCAACTCATTTGCCCACTAGAGCCTGTTTCTTCATTGCAATTCCTACCTCAGCACTATCCGCAGGTTGGGCACTGCGTTTATACAGAAAAAGGGCCCCTCTTGGAGAAACGAGACTACACAAAGGCATAGCCCTTCATGGGCAAGGCTTGGCCAGGAGACCAGCCTCTTGATGTAATTCAAAGGATTTCGCTGCTTCCCGCTGGATGGAGCCTGACGAAGGAATCTCCTGCTCAGCTCCTCCTCAGGCTGGGGGTCCTGCACACAGAGCACAGGGGTCCAGCTGCACAGCCCTGTCCACCCTGAGGACTTGTTTAGAGAATGAATAGGACAATGCATGGATAGAGAGAGTGCTTTACTTAAAGCATAGCAAAGCCCTCCTGGAACAAGAAAGGAACGAGTCATTAATTGAAAAAGGAATAGAATAATCCCTGGGGTCTTATGGTTCATAGATGCTCTACAAACAGGAGATATTATCATAAGAAATTTTCCCTATATAGTTTCTGACTCAAAAGTTTCTTTCAATCAATAGCATGCTTTAAGCACAGCACAAGAATCCAGACCGGCTTTCAAATTTCACTAACATCGCCACACATCTAACACGGAGTCAAACAAACTACGTCTATGTAATCTGTAATGACATAATTGAAACCGGGTTTACATTTATTTAAGTAGCATAGTTTTGGTGGAATGAAAATATTTTACTAAGCGGCACAACATATGTTTGAGCAAAATTTACAGAGGTCTCCCCTGCTCCCATGGACTCCTCACTTACCTATGACAACACTGTTTTGGAAATGCGGGGGAAAAAAAAAGGCAGAAGGGAGTGGTATTAAGTTTTAGTTCTGCACAATGGCACCTTTAACAGACCTGCCAACTAGTCAAAATCTAAATAGGGAGGTTTGAAAACATCTTTATTACTGCCAGTTAATATTCATAGGACTCTGGAGGAACGAGAACTTTCAATGACTCAATATTTATAAATGCTACTGTTGTCCCACCAAAACTTATGTCAGACTCCTAAGAGATGCTGGGACCTTTTGCGATAATGAGGGTGAGGGTATGCATTTTCAATGGGGTAAAGAAGTTGTTAGGAAAACAAAATTAAACACTTATATATGAGTGCTTGGTGGTCTTGAATTTGAATACTACTTGAATATGATTGGGTAACCTGACTTGTCTGGGCTTTAATTTTAATTTACCAATGTCTTGAACATACAGAAAACATTCAAAATGTACAACACTGATGACCAGTACAGCTTTTGTCTTTTTAGTTGAATTTTTGCTATGTTATCTATGCAGATGCCAAAAAAGGATAAACTTCAAATGTGGGATATCAGAATAACTGAGTTTGTATTTACATCTCTGACAGTATAATCATAACTCCAAATGCTTGAGAAACGATAACATTAGTGAAGTCGACTCTAAATTAAAAGTCAGTGTTTCCATTACCAATCCTAACACTATTTTCAGTTTATATAACTTGATCATTAAAAAGTGCTCTGGGCTGAAAACCTGGTCTGTGTCAATCTTGGATTAAACTAGTTTGCAAAGCTCTGAAGTTTGTTTCTTATTCTCTTTTATCCTTTTTCAAGAATGTATTAATTTTAAATGCTACACATAAAACTAAACCAAAAAAATCTACAACACCTGATGAGCCAACACAATTACAGGCATCACTAGTTTTTCAGAAGAAATGTATGATTTCTATAAACCTACCTTCAAGGTTCCTATGGCTGGAAGTAAAAAACTCAAGCTTTTCTTTTTTCACTCAATCTTTTACATATCCCCTCTCTATTGGTTACTTCATCAAAAATACTAGAACTTGAAATTGGAACTATAACCATTTGTAGAAATAAACTTCAAATTTGAATTTAACTTTATGGAAATAAAGTTTACTATTATGACTTCTATTAAATTGACTCGTAGCAGAGTAGAATTTTCATCTGGGGATAGCAAAAAAAAAAAAAAAAAGAAAAGATGTTATGTTAGATGCTGACATGTTCAAACTATATTGCAGTACAGGATGACTGCAGAGGGCATTTGTGCATGAATAAAACATGTCTTTGACAGAGACCTGGAAATATCATGGTATCACAAAGCCCACATATTTAGGAGCGAGGTTAGGAGAGGCAGACCTAGTTTTTTGGTTGGGCAAGGAAGGCCTGGAAAGAGGCAGGTCAAGAGGCCAGCTGTGACTACACTTGAGATGGTTACCTCCCTTCACCACTGGGAAATACAGACCTCTTCATGGTATTAGTAGAGGTCCCATCTGAAGTGTTCCAGGTATTGTGAATTTTTGCCTGGGAAGGAGCCAAAGCAAGAGAGAGAGAGACAGAGAGAGAGAGAGAGAGAGAGAGTGTGTGTGTGTGTGTGTGTGTGTGTGTGTGTGTAAGCTTGCCTGTCTGTCTACACTCTGTGGAGAACATAGAGTAACTACAGTTATAAATGCAGAGAAAAGAATGTTGTTTTAGCATTTCATATCATATTTTTATTTTGACATTTGTAGAATTATGGAAAATCATCAATTCGAAATAGAAACACTTAAGACTGTGAGTCAGAAGAGATCATAAATTTCACTTCCACCCTCCAGCCACCTTCCATATTACTCAGCAACCTAAATTTTTTTGCAGACATGAGTAAGTTATATATATATTTAAACTCAAAATTTAAAAATCTGGTAAGTTGTGATGCATCCTATAATGAAATATTTCTTTATATATATTTACACTGCATTGCCAAGACCAACTATTTCCATGAATGTTATAATTATTGCATAGATTTCTATGTGTATGATGACACACACTTTATTATGCACGTATATAACACATAAAAGAAAACACCGTAATACTCACAGTTGTAGCCAGGTGCAATACGATGTTGAGCTTCAAGGCTCGCCAATGTGATGTGGAAAATAATGTGCAGCAACAGGAAGGAAAGACTGATGAAGCACAGAGACTTCAATAACCGTCCCGTATGTCCTAAGGGATAAAAAGTACAGAGATTGTGAGAGAGCTTAAGAGGAAACACACTGGTGCTCTCTTGTACATGTTTCTGTATAACCTATTAGGTAGACCAACTCAAAAGTATATAGAGTGTAATAATTATCACCTTAATTATTAGTGTATAGCTAAATGGTATCTTATTCCCTTTGTAATATCATATATATGGGTTTATATTTATTAAAATTTCACTGTAAAAGAAAGATAATTTCCTATTTATCATATGACACATTACAGTGGAACTACAAAAAGGTCCTGGCCCAAAAAATTTTATAAGGAAGTGCTGCCAACTTTGAAAGGACAGGTAACTCCTGTCTTAGAAAAGTAGTTCTAGGAAGTAGAAAAGGAAGAAAAGTTATCTAAAACATTTTATGAAGTTACAGTAACTTTAATTTCAAAATCAAATAAGGCTAGAAAAGAAAATTATAAGCCCATGTTATTCATAACAGATATGAATTATTTTTGTAAAATGTGTCAACCAACTGAAATTGCATAGAAAAAATATAATACATAGGCTAAGGTTTATCGCAGAAAAACCCCAAAAGTGTAGTTAACATTAACAAATCAATAAGTATAATTTACACACTAGTGGGTTGCTATCATGGTTTTCTCAATAGGTACCAAAGAAATGTTTCATAAAGTTCAAAACCTAGTTATAATTTTTTAAAACATAAAAAATAGGAATAGAAGGAAACATCCTTAAAGGATTTATAACAAAACAAACATCCTGTTTATGGTAGAATTTTAGACATAGTCCCACCAGTATCAGAGAATGATCAAGGCCACTTGATATGAATGCCATTAATTAACATATCACTGGATATACTGGTCAATGCCATAAGAAATACAATGAAGAGTGTTAACTAGAATTATTTCCAGATAATACAATCAAATGGAATTATTTTCAGATAACATATCATCATCAACAGAGAATGCCAAACTAAATCCATGACCAACTATTAGAATATAAAAATTTAGGAAATGATTCAGATACAAAATCATCTTACAAAAATAAATATACTTCTTCATTAACAATAATCAAAAAGAAATAAGATGCAATTTTATTTGCAAAAACATTGTAAAAGTTTTATCAATGTGTCAATTTGGCTAGGCTGTAAGTCATAGTTATTTAATCAAATACAAATCTAGGCACTGCTGTGAGTTTACAGATGTCAAGAAAGTCCATAATCAAAGAGGTTAACTAAGGGATACTAACCTCCATAACCTGGGAAGACATGATTCAATCCACTGGAAGGCCTGAAAACTAGTCGGAGGGGTGTGTGTGTGTGTGAGTGAGAGAGAAGAAACTGTCAACTTGTGGAGAGTAACTTTACCTTGTGCCCATGATGTTCTCTTCCTGACAGCCTGCACTACTGACTGTGAACTTCCTTAGCCAGCTTATATATCAATTGTGTAAGCCAATTCCTTGTAATAAATCATAGGGAAACATAAATCATATATATGTGTATATATGTATATATTATATATTAATAAAACACCTGTGGAAACTGCTACACTTGTTGGTCCTTGACTGATCTTTTTTTTTTAAAGTGTTATGTCATAGTTTCATTGACAGTTTTTTTGTTCTTTTATAGTGACATAAAATAATGGCATCTTATGTAACACATAATAGATATGAAATCTTTAAAATATTAGCAAAATAGACCCATTAATATATGAAAAAGATAATATATTGTATCTAAGTTGGGTTTAATCCCAAAAATGCGAGATTGTTTTAACTTAAGAAATGAATTAATGTAATTCACCATAGTAGCAGATTAAAATAGAAGTAGCATTTGATCTTCTACTTAAGTGAAGAAAAAGGCTCTGAAGAAAATTCAACATCCAGGCATGATAATACTCATGGCTGACAGTATAACCTAGTGTGATGGTTAATACTGAGTGTCAACTTGATTGGATTGAAGGACGCAAAGTATTGTTCCTGGGTGTGTCTGTGAGGGTGTTGCCAAAGGAGATTAACATTTGAGTCAGTGGGCTGGGAGAGGCAGACCCACCCTCAATCTGGGTGGGTACCATTTAACCAGCTGCCAACGCGGCTAGCATAAAAGCAGGCAGAGGAACGTGGAAGGACTAGACTGGCTAAGTCTTCTGGCCTCCATCTTTATCCCATGCTGGATGCTTCCGGCCCTCAAACATCCGTCTCCAAGTTCTGCAGCTTTTGGACTTTTGGACCCATACCAGTGGTTTGCCAGGGACAGTTGGGCCTTCAGACACTGACTGAAGGCTTCACTGTCAGCTTCCCTACTTTTGAGGGTTTGAGACTTGAACTTCCTTACTCCAAGCCTACAATCCAAATACCTCCCATCAGGCCCCACCTCTAGCACTGGGGATCAAATTTCAACATGAGATCTGATGAGACGTCAAACATCCAAACTGCATCAGCAGGCATATTTGTCTTGTTCTTGATTTCAAAGAAGCAGCTTTCAAGAGTTCTATTATGCAAAATTTTACAGCAGTTTTTTGCTTATTTGTTTGAAAATACCCATTACTAGGTGTATTAGGGCTCTCGGGAGGGACAGGACTAATAAGATAGATGTATATATCAAAGGGAGTTTATTAAGGAGTATTGACTCATGCAGTCACAAGGTGATAAAAGTATTTAAGAATTGACCTAAAAAAGAATGCTTAAGAAAGACCTTTATTGACAAAATTGTAAAAAAAAAAAAGTAAAACAAATAATAGGTATAAATAAGTGAAGAGATCTGTTATATTCATGAATGAGATGACTCAATATGACAAAAATGTCAAGTTCCCCCAAATTTAGTCTAAAAATTCAGTATGGTTTAAAATAAAATGCCAGTAGATACTTTTACACCTTCGACAAGTATATTTCAAAATATATAAGAAAAGAATGCTCTGAAGATTTCAACAAACATTTTAAAAATACACTTGGAAAAATAAGACTCTGAATTGCCATGTCAATTTTGAAATTCTGAAGAATAAGATCAAAAGTGGGTGAGGTTGGCCGGGCGCGGTGGCTCAAGCCTGTAATCCCAGCACTTTGGGAGGCCAAGACGGGTGGATCACGAGGTCAGGAGATCGAGACCATCCTGGCTAACACGGTGAAACCCCGTCTCTACTAAAAATACAAAAAAAAAAACTAGCCGGGCGAGGTGGCGGGCGCCTGTAGTCCCAGCTACTCGGGAGGCTGAGGCAGGAGAATGGCATGAACCTGGGAGGCGGAGCTTGCAGTGAGCTGAGATCCGGCCACTGCACTTCAGCCTGGGCGACAGAGCGAGACTCCGTCTCAAAAAAAAAAAAAAAGTGGGTGAGGTTGGTGTATCATAGCAAATATTAAAATGTGCTACAAAACCATATGTTTGTTTATTTATTTACTTTTTGGAGACAGAGTCTCACTCTGTCACCCAGGCTGGAGTGAGGTGGCGTGATGTTGGCTCACTGCAATTTCCACCTCCCAGGTTCAAGCGATTCTTGTGCCTCAGCCTTCTGAGTAGCTGGGATTAGAGGCGTGTACCACCAAACCTGATTAATTTTTCTATTTTTAGTAGAGATGGGGTTTTGCCATGTTGGCCAGTCTGGTCTCGAACTCCTGACCTCAAGTGATCTGCCTGCCTCAGCCTTCCAAAGTGCTGGGATTACAGGCATGAGCCACCGTGCCTGGCCAAAACCGTAAGTTTAAACAAACAGAAACTTAGATTCCTTAGAGAGAGGAAAAGAAGTCAATTGGAATACCATATATTGCTCAGAAACATACCAGTTTATTTATATTAACTTGATAAATGTCAAAGTCAGCTCTACAAATGGAGAGGAAAAAGGACAGAAATGGTATCAGCAAGATGGCAGAATAGGAGGTTTTGGCTGTCATTTCCACAGAAACACCAATACTGGCAACCACCCATGGACAGGAATATTTTTGTGGGAGCCCCAGAGTCTGACAGAGTTTCCAGCCCTACTGTGGAACAAAAAACCCAAGAGTAAAAATATCAAACAGGATAAGTAGTTTCACTTTACCCATGTCACCCCTCCCCGAAAGTGGCACAACTTGGCATCAACAGAGGCCTGATTGACCTGCAATTTCCACTACTAGGGAAAGTGAGTGATGTGTGTGCCTAATTTTTGTGGTCCTGTGAAATGCTACCTAGCTGGGAGGTCCATTCTGTCTCACTTCGCCCAGAGCACTGAAGGAATCAGCCTAGGAGCAGGGAGAAGAGAGTGCACAACAACTGTTGTGCAGTTCTCTACAGCCAGTCACAGTCTCTACTAATCAGCTCACAGACTCCACAAAGAGACCCACCACTGAACCCCACAGGATGACTTGCCTGAGGACCCCCACAACCAACTGATGAACTTCCCCAGCACCCTGTGCCACCCTCTCCTATGGAAAGCACCCTGCACATCCCTGTGCATGGCCTGCACAAGCTCCTTCAGATATCACATGGATCTCAACATGTACAAATATTAGCATCTGGCTTGACTCTACTGGTGAGGGAGAAGGTATATAACATTAAGTACTTCAGGGCATTGCCTTAGGGAATATAAATTGAATGCTGTCAGTACCAGGCCTGGTTTTGTTGGATAGAGAGAAGGCACACAATCCTAAGATTTCTTTCTTAATAAGGAATTAGAAGAATGGAGCAGGTGCATCCATAGAAAAGTTCTGAGAGACTCCCAGAATCTCTAACCAGGTTCACTGGTGAAGATCCTTCTGGCCCAAAGTCAGTCAGTAAATACTGGAGAAGGTGACTACTTCTTCAAATTTTAAGACATCTTTTTAAAAATTCAAGAAAATGAAGAATCACAGAAAATTCAAAAATTCAAGAACATGAAGATTCAAGAAAACATGACATCACCAAAGGAACAAAATACAGCTCTAGTGGCTGACCCCAAAGAAATCAAGATTTACAAATTAGCTGACAAAGAATTCAAAATAGCCATCTTAAAGCTCAGTGAGCTACGAGGGAATACAGATAAACTACTAAATTAAATTTTTAAAAATT